GGGGAGCGAGGGAGACGGGGTTGGGGGGAGGGTGCTATAACTGGTGCAAATGTACGACGGAGCTGGATCGACAGGATGGATAGTTCACGTGGATTATGTCAACACCTGACGTTATCATCTGTTGAGCCCAAACACGAGAGTAATCACGTGGTGGTTGGTGAAAGAACCAATATCTAGCTTAGTCCATGCTCAATACCGTGTTACCTTTGCTCCCGCATGCGGCTCTTACATGACCTTTGGTCTGGGGTAGTCACAAGGCAGTTTCGCCGGTGTCCTTTGCGCTGTCGCTCGAAACCAAGGGTTCAGGAAGAGCCAGATGCTAAATGTGGCATCATGGCACCGACATCGCTGTGTTTATGCTTTCAAGCGGCAACTTGCCTACCTGGTATACATGGAAACATTAATTTACACTGATACGCATCTCATAAGCAGGAGCCGGGCGATTTAAGTCACAAGGTCATCAGGTCTAACCGTGTCCTCTGCTGTTTCCCAGCAGGTCTCCTCGCACTCATATTTCGTAGTTCTAAAACCGAAACTTGGCAGGAGATAGTACCTCTGCGCCAAATGTGGACAAATTTCCTGCGGTGTTGAATGCATAGACACCAATGACACCATCTCACTGATCAGCACCTGGTCCGTCGCTGTTTATTGTACATTACGGTGGACATGGCGATAGAATAATCAAGAAGACCGACGATCTGTCTGGGCCCAATTCCTTTACTGCTGCCGTAATAAGAGACATGACACGTTCGGTCGCTCAAGACGGCTTTGTGATTATTTTAGAGCTACAGAATCGCCTCACGAAGCGAGAGGAAAAACTGTTTGTGACGCCGATATACATCGGAATGACTGGTGGGAGGTCCATACGCTTAGCACCAATCATGCCCGACAACGAACGGCCAACGGACATCCCTCAAGCGAAAACATTCCTCCAGCTCCTCATCAAGATCAAGGATGAGCTAACAGAGAGAAACACGAAGGAGATCAGCCTTTGGATCAAGACCTCCGGAGTGCCAAACATCGTGTCGGGCCTTGAACTTACCTTTGCCCGGACCGGACAAATATGCAACGCTGTGGAGGATATTCGCAGAGGAGAAAAGCTGTTCACGCATCACGTCCGGATGGTCTACAAGGACGAGATTATGGCCGCTTGGAATAGGGTCGTGTCCCTGGTTCAAGGGTATCGCTCTCTTCATCAACTTCAACCGGGATTCAACAAGCCGCACCAGACTGGCCATTTCTTAAAGGAGCTGGTCAAGGACACCGAAGACGTTTTTGGGCTTCTTGAGAGATACATTTTGACTGGCCCTGCATTGGAGGAAGGAGAGGCATTGGAGGCGATGATTAGCGATGAGACCTTCCAAGCTCTCGGCCTAACAGGACCACTGCAACTGGTCAAGATCGATCGTCAAGATATCTCTCTGGGAGCAACCACCATGGCTTACAGTGGCACGGCCATCCAAGAGAAGATTTACGGCCCTTACCTGGATCCTAGGGATATTCCGGTCGTTTAAAAACGAATCAGCGTCCTAGCCAACATGTTGAAGGCCGTTGAGTCTCAAGACTTCCGTGCGCTAAGGTGCATTGGGTGGTTTCCCGAGCCCTTGGAGCATTGTTACATTCTCAACTTTGAAGTACCGCCTGGCATCGAGGACCAGAAATATGTGACATTGCAGCACGTCATCCACAAGATGAAAGGCCCCGACCGGCCATCCCTGGACGAGAGACTAGGTTTGGCTTTGGCGCTCGCCAAGGCAGTAGAAAATTGGCATCTCGTCGGTTGGCTTCATCAGGGGATCAGCAGCTTCAACATCATCTTCTTCCATAGGCCAGGAACACGCAGGATTGACCACGCAAAACCATACTTGCACGGCTTCGAGTTCGCATGACCTGGATCAGATACCTCAATAGGGCGAGCAGTGGACTCTATTGAATTCAATGCCTATCGACACCCTGATCGCCAAGGGACTGTAGAACGTGGTCATCTCGCCAAACATGACATTTATTCCCTTGGCGTGGTATTGCTCGAGATCGGTCTATGGCAGAGTGCTCTGGATGTTGTGCGGAAACTGCCTAGCAAATTCTCCGGGTTGGAAGCCCAATCCTATCTCGTGAAGCAATGCAACGAGAGACTCGCATATTTCGTTGGAGAGTCGTAGCAAGATGTTGTAGCAACTTGTTTGACGTCGAGCTACGAAGTTGAATTCGATGACACCACCCGCTCGTGATCAGCCAAGTCATTTCACGAAAAGGTCGTCATGAAGCTGAGCATGGGCATTCAGCCCCTGTAATTCAGGAGATCGAGCAACAGCATTCGTCACCCCCCTTCGTCGTTGTTGTCAACGCTACAAGGACCGCGGCATAGCTATCGAGAAGCCGTTAGCAAGATTGTCCATCTAGGCGCAGCAAAGCACTTACCTGGCTCCCGAGGCAAATCTGTCAACAGTCCTGGCTGTTGTGAAGAACGAAGCAACCACAAGGAACATGATTGCGGAAAATATGCTCGCCAGCACACGGCCTGCGGTTGATATTATCGATGGGATGAAGGTGGTTGGGATGAGGATCACCAGTGTCACGGCGACCACTGCGAAGATGCGGCTAAAACGCCGGAGGTGTGGTCCGAGGAGAAGAACATTGCTGTCGGCTGTGATCTTGTAACGCTGTGTTTTTAGACGAGGGAAGAACTGGGATCGGACGTCAGCTCTGACATTCACCCTTGCCCTATCAGCTGCAGATAATACTCATACCCTCCCTGCCAGCCGATCCTACCAGTACGTGCATTCTTCCACGAAGACCTCACTGTACGCCAAAGCCCTGTCCACAGGACCGGCAAGGCTGCCTATGTCCTCATCCATCTCAAGATAATCGGTCTCCTTCCGGCTGATACTGGTCTTGATGCCCAGCCCACAGACCATTCCAAAAGCCTTACGCCTGTTAGCACCTTTTAACACTGCCTCTGGACCAGAATCCTTCAGGCCCACGGCCAGACCCGAAGAATTCTAGATCGACCGATCAGACTTTGCACCGCCGCAACCGAGTCAGCTACTTGCTTCTACCTAGCTTATTACACAACTTCGGAGATAGCACGGCAGCGAAAATGCTGTACGCAGACGACGAGCAGCATTACCGTCCCCGAATAGATTTCTATGTCGAGGTAGGAAACCCGTTGCAGCGATGCTTCCACAACATTCTCCAGATTCCTTTGTACAACAACTCATTATCTCAACAACGGCGCTGACATCTTGAAATCAGGGCAAATTTCGCGTCAACGAACAGGTATACGTAACCTCTGACGACGGCCGCAGTCTGCTCGGTTCATACACGGTGGCCCGGGTGGTCGAAGGCAGCAATCCAAAGAAATAGAGATGTAGTTCCCA